TGCGTGGGCTCCGGGCCTCAGTGCCTCCCTCCGCCTCTCCCGGGCCATGTGGACTCGGCAGCACCGGGTGGTCCGCTCACCCAGGCTTTTCCACCTGCGGCCCCGGGTCTCGGGGTGCGGTCCTCCCCCCCCACCGTCCTCACCCCCTGCGACCCCGCTGATCCCTCCCGTGGCCAGCCAGGCTCCATTGTTAACCGCATGTGTCAGCGGAACCGGGTGAGCGTGTGAATCCGCACGGAGCAGAACAGCTCGCCCCCCGAGGGGCTCCTCCCACTCGCGAGGGCCTCGTGGAGCCCGGGCCGAGGCAGGAGACCTCGTCAGGCTGTTGAGCCGACGCACCGGGCGTCGGCCCTCGGACCAGCCACAACTCTGGCCCCATTTCTCGGGCCTTCACGTACACGTGTGTGTCCTGAGCCAGTCAGTCATGTACACGCGTGTGTCCTGAGCCAGTCACATTCATGTGTGTATCCTGAGCCAGTTGGTCATGTTCACATGTGTATCCTGAGCTGGTCAGACATGTACACACGTGCATCCTGAGTCAGTCACGTTCATGTGTGTATCCTGAGCCAGTCGGTCATGTACACGCGTGTGTTCTGAGCCAGTCAGTCATGTACACGCGTGTGTTCTGAGCCAGTCGGTCATGTACACGCGTGTGTTCTGAGCCAGTCAGACATGTACACGTGTGTGTCCTGAGCCAATCAGTCATGTAACCCGTGTATCCTGAGCAGTCGGTCATGTACACGCGTGTGTTCTGAGCCGGTCGGCAGGCACACGTGCACACACACCTCCTGCTGGCCCTGCCTCTGGAGAGCCTGGCTGTAGTCATGGTAGGTCCTGCGGCTCTGGTGCTGTCGGCCTGTCTGTCACCCTGAGTGCATCTCGGAATTGGAAACGCAGAACTTCACTGTGTCGAGTGCGGCTTTCTTGCCTGCCCACTGCGTTACCTGATTTAATTGTTTAATTTTCACAAACAGCCGCTCAGGTGGGTGTGGCTTGTGCCCTGTAGGAGGCACAGAGGGGACACAGCTGCCGGGTTTCAGCCCCGGAGATGTTCGGAGGGAAGGGGAGGAGCTGGGAACGAACAGGGATGAGGACTGCCCGCCAGGAGGAAGGAGGGAGGGGAGCACGGTGGTGGGGAATCCCTCTCTCACCAACACCCCTGGGGAGCAGGGGACAGGCTACGCCCACGGGGAGGGTGGCCCGGTCCCCGGCAGCAGCGGTCTAGCCGGCACCCGGATGAGGACTGCCCAGGAGGAAGGAGGGAGGGGAGCACGGTGGTGGGGAATCCCTCTCTCACCAACACCCCTGGGGAGCAGGGGACAGGCTACTACGACGGGGAGGGTGGCCCGGTCCCCGGCAGCAGCGGTCTAGCCGGCACCCGG